GGGAAGGGAGGGGAGAAGGGCAGATGGGTGGTGGGAGGGTGACTGGAAAGATCACCTATATGGTCTGTCTAACAAGGGTACAAGTGAATTTTTCTAGAACTAGAGTATAAATGTTTTAACACAATAACTAAGTAAATGACACAAAGTCTATGTTAAAAAAAAGTGAAATGTATAAATGCATATCACTATGAAAAAAAAATAGTTGTATAGGTTTTCCTCCCACATATGCACATTATTATAAGAGTAGGAATTATTTTCTGCATGCACAATTAAGATTATTGAAAATATTTTGTAATCTAGTTTGAACAGTATACATGTATTTACAACCTGGTTTTAGGTTTCTAATTAACCCTTTGGTCATCAGTTTTTTTGTTTTTTCTTTTTTTTTTTTTGAGACAGGATCTTGCTTTGTTGCCCTAGGTTGGAGTGCAGAGGGAAAAATCATAGCTTACTGTAGTTTCAAACTCCTGGGCTCAAGCAATCCTCTTGCCTCACTTTTGACATAGCTAGGACTGGAGGTGTAAATCACCACAGTTGGCTAATTTTTAATTTTCTTTTTTCAGAAATAGTCTTACTATGTTGCCCAGGCTGCTCACAAAATCCTGAGCTGAAGTGATCCTCTTGTTTTGGCCTCACAAAGTGCTAGGATTACAGATGTGAGCCACTGTACCCATGCTGGTCACCACATATTAGGCTGAAACTCAGTAGTGGCCTGTCAGAAAAATGCACAGGATGTGATGGAGGCATACGGAAAACGGTAGTCATTTTTAACATATATACCAAACATTGTTATAGTATCTATTGGAATCCTATCTAGTTAAGATTATAGGCCATGGTCAAAGTCATTGCAAAGTCTATGTGATATTAATGATTTATCTATAATCTGAGGAAATGGGGGACTAATATTTATTGAGCAACTACTATATGCAACATTGCAGAACATTTTGCAAACATTGCCTCATTCATATATGACATCTATGAGTGGGGAAATAAATGAGATTTGTAACCTCTGTGCCCTTAAAAATGGGAAAAGATAATGTAAGTTCAAAGTCCTTCAACTTATGAAGGAAAAGACAGACTGTTTTGATTAGAACTATTTAAGTTCACTGTTGAATCAACATTAACTGTAGAACTCCTCTAGTTTTCTCCTGATTTTGAGAATAAAGGCATAGCTTTAGTAAGTATTACATTTTGTCTTCTGTTGGGTAGACTTTTGCCTTACAAGAATGCAGTGCAATTTACTTTTGCATGAAATATATTCTGTACACTGCCATATTGGGATTGCTTAGCGCATACTACTGCTTACTTTGAAAAAGTCTCTGTCTTCTGCTGATCCCCGGTAATACAAGGTGCCTCTGGATGTGCGCTCATGTCACAAGTCAACTCAATGAAAACTGGCATGTAGATTCACTGCAGAATACAGGGAATGCAGATTTGATCTGGTATGTGACAGTAGAAAGCTGTATTTTGTTGCCCATGTGAAAGATGTAATTTGCTGTTTGAGCATTGTTTTGGACAACTCCCTTCTTGGGTAGTCTAACTTAAGGCATCTATGGATATACTGTTGTATTTATGATTGTTGCAAGTAATGTATCCTTTACCTTGCCAGAAAAAGATATGTCAAAGTCTCCTATGTTCATAAGACTCATGCCTTCACGCTAGAAGCAAAGTCCTCAGATATTTCTTTATATGAGTGTTTGTCAATTGGAGAATTTTTTTTCATTTGCTAACACTTTACTTTTGCTCTTCCCATTTATTATTTCTTTCTAACTTTATGACAGAGCTCTATCATGGGGTGTTTTATAAGAGCATAATCTCCAAATCAGATAGTAAAGCTTTGAATTCTAGCTGGAAGTACAAGCTATGATCCTTTGGGGCAAGGAACTGAACTCCTCCAAGGCTCATTTTCTCCACTGATAAAATGGACCACTTCCTTATGGGGTCCTAAGGAAGGTTAAGTTAGTGCATATGAAATTCTAACACAAAGCCTTCTTCAAGGAAAGAAGTTCTTAAGTTAGATGGGTAAGGCTAATATTAAGGAGAAAGACACAACTAGGTTAAGACACTTGCCTAAGGCCACATAATTGTAGAAATGGAGTCAGACCAGCCATTCCCATTTTAGTCTTTTTTAAAAAAATTAATAATAGGCTGCTTAGGTTTTTTAATTAAACATATATGTGTATAGCAACTGTTGACTTCTAAATGTGATGTTTTGTCAACAAATATAATTATTAGGCATATATTATGTCAGAGGTAGGGGTGAGGCAATGCAGCTGAAACAAAGGGGCTTACCTACAACTACCAAGTCCATGTACCCACACAAATGCATACACAAGCACACAAATTCATTCAGAATGTGCCTTCTTTCAAAGGAAAACTTGGCCTTTGAACTCATCTTTCTTCACGTTATGACTATTATAACTTGGGTATTTACTCAGAGCCCCTGCTTTCTTATTAGTAGAAAAAAAATAAAATAGTATAAGATTTTTAAAATTATCAAGATTAATTAAGGTACTGCATGTGATATCCTCCACACAAAGCCTGGGTGGGACCACACCTATGGTGCATCTTACAAGGGTACCTGTGAAACTTACTAAATGTAGAATATAAATGTCTTAACATAGTAACTAAGAAATTACCATGAAGGCTATGTTAACCAGTTTGATGAAAATATTTCAAATTGTATACAAAACCAGCACATTGTACACCATGACTGCAGTAATGCACACAGCTATGATTTAATAAAATAAGTCATAAAAGTGTAAAATAAGTAAATAAGTAAAATAAGTAAATAAATAAAATAAGTAAATAAATAATAATAAGATAAAACCTGGATAAGCATTAGCTGAAATTGCTCTGAGGAAGTACTCACATGAAATTCTGGTTCTATCACCAATCAACATTTGTCAAAAAGGAGCAGCTTCCTAGAGGAAGTCAGCTAAAGAAATCATAAATAATTTCAATAGAATACAAGCTTTCTCTTTGCTGAGGGTAGGTCAAAATACCTGTGTTGGATTTGCATGCAGGCCAACTTCCATGCTGTAAACCTTTGAGACCGTCACAGGCCTACTACTGAGATTTCAATTTCTACTGTCTTTGTTCCACTCTAAAATTGAAGCTCAGAGTTTTGGTTCATCACATTCAGTGCAAATGCCTTCAAATATTGTATCTGTATGCACAGAGAAGTCTGCCATATGCTCATGAGCATTAAATGAGTAAATAAATGTATGTAAAACAATTTTATTAATGAGGAGCACATAGCAACAACTTCATGAATGTTCTCTTTCAGAAAGAATTTTTTTTTTTTTTTTTTTGCAGCCATCATTGTCGTTTGGGCCCAGGCTGGAGATTCAAACCTGCCACCTTAGGTGTATGTGGCTGGCGCCTTAGCCACTTGAGCCACAAGGGCCAAGCCCAGAAAGAATTTTATTGACCCATTGTGTACCTGTAGATGTGCTGGGCACAAGGTATAGAAAGGTGAGGTGAACGGACCAGATCTCTGCCTTCATGAAGCTTAATGGGGCTGTGGATGGGGGTTGGTTCACAAAATAAAGTTCAGTTTGTTGAGCAGAGCAGTGATTGCTTGTGCTACCTAGATGGGTGGTTATAGATTATACTCTTGGTGAGGACCATTTCCATTTGCTGTGTTTAATGCTTTTGCTCCAAGTATCTTGTGAAAGGCATAGTAGGCACTTGATTCATCTTGGTTGAATAAATAAAGGGATGCATGAATATCTGAGCAGGAGCCCAGTTAAAAGTGGGTACTGCAGGTTCTGGGTTGAGACTGTGTGTGTAGATATTACACAACCCCTGCAGTTTGTAGACCATGTTTATGTGGTAAAGTCTGGGTCAGAATATATGTGGGCAGATGAGACAAAGAGGAAGAGGTTATGACAGCATGTATATAAATAAGTAAAGTCTGCATATGTGTGACGTAACACGGGAAGCAAAGCCTTTGGTTGTCCTTTTTTAGTGTGTGCATTTTTGAGGTAAATCTCAGCTTGTGTGTGAATCTAGGTGTAGCCAGGTAAATCAGCTTGTAGGTAGGACACAGCATTAAGAAGAGTATTTTGCAAGGCAAAAATCTAGGGATGTGTGCACAATTATGACCTGTAATGCAATTGTGTGTGATGCAAATTAGGGGTGGGTAAAAAAACAAATCTAGGTTGGTATATGTAAGGTCAAGACTGGCTTTTGTGATTGTCAATGAAAGCATGTGTGCGCGTGTGTGTGTTGTGTAAATCAATTCAGGAGTTTATATGAGGTTTGTGAGGCAGACTATGGACATGGGTGTACATGTGAAACAATTCAAAGATCAGGATGAAGCAAGTCAGGGGGTATGGGTGAGATTGTGTGTCTGTGCTAAGTCTTGAGTTTATGTGTGTTAGTTGTAAATCAAAACTGGGCTTTGAGATGAACCCACTGGGTTGGGCTGGATTTGTGTTTGTGAGGTAAACTCTGGAGTCACTGTGGGTGAAGCAGGGTTTGTGTGCACATGTGAGTGAGTCAAGTTCCTGAGTGTGAACATTGCTAAGACAACTGAATTGTAATGTGTGTGAACAAGTCTGGGGTTGCAGCGCGAGGGGGCAGTGAGCGCGCCGGTGCATGCGCGCGCGCGCCAAGTTTGGGTTTGTCTGTGTGATGGGCACCAGCGCCGCGTCCGCCCGGGAGGCCACGTTAGGGCTGGGGGTGCGCGGGGAGGTGCGGCCGGCCGAGAGGTCCCGCGAGCTGCTGAGCGCGCCGCTGCACCGGCCCCGCGCCGCGCGCTGCTGGCTCGCAGGGGACGGGCAGGAATCGGAGCAGCACTGCCGCCTCTGGCGCGAAGGCTCAGGCGCCTCCTCCCGCCCCAGTCACTGTGGCTCGGCGCACGCTGCCGGCGGCTGCCCTTTCTGCCTCGGGGAAAGAAAACCTTTGGGTCCCGGTCGCGCTTGAACCATGGCCTCGGGCCGAAGGGGCTGGGACAGCTCGCATGAAGACGATCTGCCGGTGTACCTGGCCAGGCCGGGCACCACCGACCAGGTCCCGCGGCAGAAGTACGGCGGCATGTTCTGCAACGTGGAGGGCGCCTTCGAGAGCAAGACGCTGGATTTCGATGCCCTGAGCGTGGGGCAGCGCGGCGCGAAGACTCCTCGGAGCAGCCAGGGCGGCAACCGCGGCTCGGGGAGCCGGCCTGGGGTCGAGGGGGACACCCCGCGCCGGGGCCAAGGCCGGGAGGAGAGCAGGGAGCCGGCGCCCGCCTCGCCCGCGCCCTCCGGGGTGGAGATTCGGAGTGCCACCGGCAAGGAGGTGTTGCAGAACCTCGGCCCCAAGGACAAGGTATGGGGACCCGGGTCACTTCTCTGCCTGCCCTTTAGTCCCTTCTCCATCCCTGGTCGCCATGGCCCAGGCACAACTTTCTCCCGCTCACTTTTCACGAGGTTGAGGGACTAGGAGGAAAGGGGCATCATCCTTTGAGCGTAGTGTGACCTGCTAACCGGACTTTGAATTCGCGCGTGTCCCCAATTGCAGCACCTTGGTGCGCTCTCGGCAAGAGCGCGCCGTGTCCCCTACCCCTGCCCCCTTGCAGCCGCACCCCTGGGCCATCCGTTCCGGGTGGGTGTGTCAGCCCGGCCATCCCAGGAAGGCTTAGTGACTTCCAGCCCTTCTCTCCGCCTGAGTGACCAACTAACTACACAATTGTCTTAGCCCCTTCTGGCCCTATATTGAATCTCAACCCGGGTCACTAGGGCAGAGGGCAAACTGATGCGGAGAAAATGGGGTCATCTCCGTAGTGCCCGGATGAAAGTACTGGATGGGCGGTTTCCTCTCTGACTCTTCAAACATCAGTTGTGTCCCTGAAACTTTTGGGTGTGGAGGCACTAGACTAAACACCCGAATCTCTACGCTTCCCTTCTCCTGTTCTAGCACACGTTTCACATCTGTGTTTGTAAAGAGTATATTTGTGTACGTATCTTGGCACAGGACCGAGTAGCACAGGGGTCCAGCTGCCTCTGCAAGAATAGCATTGTATTTTTGAAAATAGATGGGGGTATTAAGGGTGCATATTAAACTAGCACGAGATGCAAATTCCCTCCTCTTAAATGTGCCAAAGCCAATTTCTTCTGTATGTGTATTTTTGAGAGACTTATATCGCACTGAACTGACTAGACGGCATGGTGATCCAGCTTGCCTTGATTGTTGTGCTTATTTCCTAGAAAAATCAGAGCTATAATTCAGAAAATTCAGATTCTGGCAGAGCTGAAGGCTTCAAAGTTCAAACTAAGGCTTTTGAGTTGGGAAACAATACTAATCACATGTCCTCACCCTTGTCTAGGTAATGGCTACAAAATCCATCCGCATGTCTTATTCTGCATTACTATCTAGGAATAATAACCTGAAATGGAAATGTCTACCTGAGAGCAATACAGTTAATACTTACGCAGGTTTTTGTTGTTTGGTCATTAAAATGCAGTGAGCCAGTGAAAGGACAGTGTTTCCCTCCACTGCTTGAGTTTTGAAAGTTTAAGCAAACAAACCAACCTTTAACTACTGATACCACTTGGGAAAGTAAGTATTGAAGTTAGTGCTGTTTAAAGCACTTAGAAAGCAATGTTAGTGGCCCTTGGAATCACTCATTTAGTTGGTGATTTTCACATCATCCTTTGAATATGTGCTTCCTCTAGGCCCTGCTCACACACCCTTTTAGGGAAAATTTCTGATATTTTGGAAAGGCTTTGGCTGATATCTAGACCAAACAATAGCCCTGTGAAAAGTTATTGCCTCTCTTTGGGTCTGACTTGATCAGTATTGAAATGTTCCTTTCTTGACTCCAAGGGGTGGGAGAAGTGATGGGAAAGGTCGGTAACAATTGCTGTGAGTCAGTGCTATTCCCTTTGCTGGAACACCCCTGATGCCTGATGTAAGTCAGATAATATGCCTGGTTTGCAAGATTGAAGAATGGTAATTTGAGAAAGGGAAAATGTTCCTCCTTTAAACCCAGCAATTCTCTCGTTTACTTTCCTTTTGCAAACCCTATACTTTTGGCTCCTAATTGAAAAATAATAATACAAGCTAAGCATCAGCAGGATTTCTTGTGCTACGTGGTTATTTGTAAGTTCGGGCTTGCTGTCAGCTTCATCCAGGACATATTATTATCTCTTATTTGGTTGAATCACACTGTTAGAAGAGACCACAGAGGTTATCCAGTTCTCACCTTAACGATTATTTCCTTGAGGATACACATTAGGTGTTTGGGTTTCTCTTTGTGGCTAGAATGCTTGACACATTGGAGGTACTCCATACGTGTTTAATAAATTAAACTTCGCAGCCATCTGTTTTGCTACCTGGGTGGTACAAAATGTTCTTCTGGCCTCTGCTTAAATACTGCTGTTGTCAGAGAGCTTACTACCTCGTGAAGCAACTTTTGGGCAACTTTACTTAAAAAAAAATTAAGCCTAAATTTGCCTTCCTATAGTTTTTACAAATTATTTTTAGTTCTGATCTCTGGAAATCTAACAGTAAATACGTTTCCTTATTCTGAGGTTATTTTAGTGATTTTTAAGTATATGGGCTCTTACATCTGTCGGAGAAGGCTGGGTGATGCCACAGTAACAACCCCCAAATTTCAGCAGCTTAGTCATAAAATAATAGAGTATTCTTTCTGCTTCTTGTTTAACATGGGTCAGTGGAGAAGCTTTGTTCATTATTGTTCTTCCGAAACCTGAATTGATGGGTGCTCCATCTCTACACATCTGTGGTGGGACGAGTACATGGCAGGTTGTACACTGACTCTTAATCCCTTGCTGGAGTGGTGAATGTGATGTATGCTCACATTTCATTGGCGGGAGAAAATCACATGTCCATAGCCAACTTAACGGAACTGGGGGAATGTACTCTTACCATGATCCTGTAAGACTAGAAATATTTGCCAAATAACTCTATTATCTCTCCCAGATTTGGAGTGAAACCTGGCCAAACCTTACTAGTTATGTAACTAAACATATAACTTAAGACTCTTTTTTTTCTTTTTCTTCATCTGCAAAATAAAGATAACGGTGACTCACTTTGCATATAAGAACTCAGTCCATATTAGTAATTATTATTTCTCTTCAATTTTGACTACCCTTCATATGTTTGAGGGCAATTATCATGTTCTTCCTAAATTTCTGTTTAGTTTTGATATTCCTAAGTTCTTCAGCATTCTATTATATGAACATTTCACCATTCTGATTTCCTTTTCAGGATATACTGTATCTTGTAAATATTTTTTTGAAATTATTGTGTCCAGAAATGAACATGGTGCTTCAGTTGGGATATGGTCATTGTAAGGTGCATTCGGCTGCTTAACTTTCTGAGTTAGATACGATACCTGTAACAGAGAAGCACACCTAATAATTAAGTATCTGTGTCTCCCTGTTGTCTCCATAGAAAATTCTTTCAAAAACTCAAGCTTTCAAAAACTTCTTTACTTAAGTTACTATTAAGCTAGGATATCCCATTCTATGCTGGAGCAACTGAATTTAAAACAAAACAAAAGAAAAATCTTAACTATATTATTTGATTTTTCTTCCCTCTATAGTCTGTATTCATCATTATCTTAGCTCATCTTTCTATTATATCATAAGCATTTTGAACCTTAATTCTATGATATAACATTCCTTCTCCCAACTTTCTATCATTTGCAAATTTGATAGTATCACTTTTTGAGCTCTTTCTGTGTGCTTATAACAACTATATTTTTTTCCACTTTTTTCACACAGAAAATGATTGCACAGATAAGGAAATTGAAAATAGGAGATTCTGAATGTTCAGCCCCAAATCACGTGGATATTAATGATAAGGGAGGGATGCAGAATGATTTTTCTGATTCCAAAGTCCATGTATTTTTATAGGAGGCTACTACTTTATTTTAATTTAACCAGCCTGACTATGGGATCAGCTCCGGACATATTAATATAATGCAGGGTAAGGACAGATTTTCCTGGCACACCTCTGGAAAGCTTTCCCCATCTTGCTACCAACCCATACTCAGACAGACTTTGAGATAATTGTTCAACCTTTGAGAACAATTGCTGAAAAACCCTTAGTCTTCCAAGTTGATTACAAAGCTAGCAGAAGACATTTCTTAAACAAAAAAAGTCTTGATAAGATCAAAATATGCTTTATCTCTAGCTTATCTAATTATTAATTCTATCTAAAAGAAATAAGTTCATTTAATAAATTGTGAAGAAGTTAAAATAGCAAAAGTGTTTGGCAGAGTATAAATGTAAAAATATCTCTAAGTTATACTTCAGATGCCAGATTCCATGTTTAAGTATCACCAGGTACTAATATTATGATTCTGAATCTACCTATAAACACCTTGTTAAATTACATATTTATATTTTTCTCATGTTAAGAATTCATATTGGAAAAATCCTCTACAGGTGGCTCACACGACTTTTTGTTTATAATTTTTAACATTAAAAAAGCAATTTTAAGTGAAAAGTAAACATTTTTTTACCATTTCTCAAGATGCTTTTCCATGCACACAGAATTTTCCTGGCAGGAAAGAAATTACTCAGAGGAAGAGAACTATAATATATGATCTGCCTAAAGCAAATGATACTGCAAAGACTTTGTCATCCAGCAAAAACAAAGTAATGACATTATGATTACACAGAGAGTTTATTGATATCTCCTTATCAGGAGCCTTGGGTCATTTCTAGTTCCTTGCAGCCCATGTGGGCCACTTTTGTGCAAGATATTTCCTTTATGAAGTCAGCAGGGGCTTTGGATATAAAGGGAGAGACTTTGAAACAAATGAGTTGAGATGTGGCTCTTACCTTTTTACCATTTGTCTTTTTTTTTTTCCCTTGGGCTAAAAGTTTTCAAGATGACTCAGAGAAATTGATGTTCTTCTCTTTACCCTGCACAAGGGGAGACAGCTGGAAATAGAATTTTAGGCTGATACAGGCCTCTCTAACCATCAGAAGGCAAATCCTGGAGTGCAAATGAATTTTACCATGCTACTCTGACTAATCCAAGTTTGTACCGAGGCTAGGAATACAGCCTCCTGCTCACCTGGCTTTCAGGCCACATTTGAATCTAGGAGTACATTTCCTTACCCAAACTTGGAAGTGCTGAAGTCTTTCAGAGCTTTGGTTTAGTTTGACAGTAGGCATTTGAGGAACATGGAAAAAAAAAAGCAACCTGCCTTCCAAGTAATGCTGGGATTGGCAGAGTTCCCTCAAAGTAATGGTCCCTAGAGACAGGGTTTTGCTGACAGCTCTTGTAAGTAGAGTTTAAGATGGCCAGAGCACTGTCTAGGATGTTTTCTGTTAGTGACTCTTATAGCT